CAAAGAAGAGTGGCAGTCGAGATTCTGAGGACTAACAGCCCTGCGTCCATCGAAGTACTGCTGTCTCCTCAGCTGCCTAATACACGTACCGAGCCTTACGTTTCAGAATCACAGTCGCCAAGATGCGCAGTATGATGAGCATTGCCAACAAAACACCGATGTACAACCCAACAAGATCAGCATGGATGTCATTAGCCTCGTTCAGGAGGGTCATATCGAAGCCGAATTCATTGAAGTATGCCAAGGAACCAGTGTACTTGAGGAAGCTCAAATACTGCAACCATCGTAACCACACCGGTATTTCACTTATAGGAGTGAACAAACCAGAGAAGATCATCTGAGGGACCAAAATGAGCGGCATAAACTGCATTGCTTGGGCGCCAGAGTTAGCCAGAGCACCGAGGAACTGGGCGAAGGATGCCGATACCAAGTTGATAAGAAGGTTACTCAAAACCCATAAGATCCAACTGCCTTGAAAGTTTAGCATGAAGTAAGCTATGATGATCTGAATAACACTCTCTATGAATGCCATTGGCACTTCCAGTAGAGTCTGTGATAGCACATAAGGAATAGAGGAATACATATTGCTAGCGTATTCCCTCACAAAAATAGCACGTTGATCCGGATACCTCAGGATGGTCGTCTGAGCTGATCCCATCATAGCAGCCACACACGTAATGACTATTCCACCATAGTAGGACTGGAACCTCCCACGGTTGGTGAGCCAATATATCTCAGACTCATCCGCACCAGCTTGGAAGAACACACAGCCCATTATAAGCCCCATGAAAACGGTCATGCAAAACTTTATGATTTGCACCGTTGGATTTCTGATGATGTCTCGGAAGTCCCTTTTCAGCAACTCCCTCAGCTGAACTCGCAAGGAAGCTACTCGAGCTTTCGAATGAACTTCAGCCTGCTGAACAGCTTTCCCACGGAGCTCATCTATTCCTGACATCATCCGCTTCTCGAAGTAAGCTTTATATGCATCAACGAGAACTTCAATATTTTCCCTCGGTTCAGTCTGCAACACGTACAATACGTAATCAGCAGGATTGTAGTTACTCGGGCACTTATAACCACCATTTTCATAAAAGAAGTTGACAAGCTCCTTCCTGGGACCATCGTACACGATACAG